TACGAAATATTCCGAGTGTATGCTTGGATGTTACCGCGGAGGCTGGCTGGTAAACAATGGGACGGCCGGCACATGTGAGGCTGGCTGAGGGCACATTGGACGCGTCTCGGACGAAAATCGGTAAGCGGGTTTTTAATCGGTATGCGCGGCAAAAATTTTGCGATAAAAGTAATCGGTATGCGGAAAAATCGCTATGTGATGCCATCGTTATGCGGGGGTCCACTGTATCAACATTAAACACCAAGATTCCCCCCAAAAAAGTGATCATGTATTAATCTACATCAGGGGTTCCCAACCTTGTCTATACTGTGCACCCTAGGAAATGTTTGATTAATGTTGCACCCTGTACAAAAGTAATATCAAATTTGGTATTACTTGCTCAAATATAAATTGAGCAATTAGAAAAGTTTTTGGTAAAATAAACTGAATTGGGTTTCTCATTAGGATTCTTTGTTGCACCCTCTGAAATGCCATCTCTTTCCCCTGGGGGTGCATGTACCCTAGGTTGGGAACCCCTGAGCTACATATACTTGCCATGGTGAGGTATAAACACTTAAACAATCATTTTAGAGTAGGATACACTAATAATTACAATATAGGCTTTACCTTACGCCACAATGCTGTATACACATGACTTACTGCTACAATTAGTGTATTGCCATAATTATTCTTTTCAGCTGCTGTCCCAGTCTGTCATGTCTGTTGAAACAGTGCAAGTGGCACACTCTGCATAGTGGTTGTTGCTCATATTTACTTTGCTAACACAGTTAAATGAGTGAACTGCAAATAAATATGAGCAAGAACCACTAGACAGATTGTGCCACTTGCATTCTGTTCTAACAGATGCAACAGACTAGGATAGCAGCTGCTGGTGTGTGTATTGGCAAGATACCTTAGTCATGCATATATCTAAACCATCTTTGACTAGATTTAACCTGTAGCTGTAGGAGTCCCCCAAGGTAGTGTCCTGGGCTCACTCCTCTTTCTCATCTACATCAATGATCTCCCCAATGCATCCCAACTCCTTACACCAGTTCTATTCGCAGATGACACTACATATGTCTACTCCCATTCAGACCCAGCTGTGCTTAGAAACACTGTAAACAATGTGCTGCTAAAGATATATGCTTGGATGATGACCAACAAACTCTCTCTCAACATAGACAAAACATACTTCATGCTGTTTGGCAACAGAGCCTCAAATATTCAACTCAACATATTGTTAAATGGTTCCCCTATATCAAGACACATGGAGGGCAAATTTCTAGGTCTTCTTCTTGAGTGTAATCTTAAATTTCAGTCCCATACCCATCACATAGCCAAGAAAATTTCCAAATCAGTAGGAATCCTTTCCAAGATACTCTACTTTGTACCACAAACGATTCTCCTTCCTCTGTACCACTCTCTAATATATCCTTACCTCACCTATGGTATTTGTGCCTGGGGCTCAACCACTGCCAGCCACCTTAGACCCTTAATAATCCAACAAAAAGCTGCTGTGCAGGTGATAGCCAGCTCCTGTGCTAGACAGCACACTCCACCGCTTTTCAAAAGACCCAACTTGCTAAATATACAAGACATACACTCTTATTATTGTGCCTGCTATATATACAGAACTTTAAACTCTACTGTAAACCCTCCCCTAAAACTACTACTCGACAGTTACAACAGGATGCACAGTCACAATACAAGGCATAAGGCACTTTTCAACATCTCTCGAGTAAGACACTCACTATGCAAGAACGCTATGCATATAAAAGGCCCAAAGATCTGGAACTCGCTACCAGAACAGGTCAAGGATCCCCAGACAGCTTATAAATTTAGGACTCTGCTAAAAAAATCATCTAGTCTCACAATATTAACCAATTCAACCAAACATCTGCTGACTAGTTTTATCATGTGACCACCTGGCTTTTAATTCTGCCATTCCATAAAATATTACCACCTGCACCATTCCTTGTAAATTAGATTTTGTACTAAGTATACATAAGATTTATTAAGTCCAAATAAGATTGTAAAACAGCTAACCACTATTCCATGTTTAGTTTTAAGTATAAGTACTATGTACTATTATCTTATCTAGTTTTAATTAGTTACTATGTATTAGGATTAGTTTGCCCGAAATGCCTCGGCATGATAGTGGCTATCCTTGTACTTAGCAAATCAAAATTGTAATTACACATTGTAACCTTTACAAAGAAATAAACTTACTATTATTATTAATGCTGATGAAAATTTACTCCAGATTATCATAATTTTTCCAAAATAAATGACCATGCTATTTTCCAGGTAAAAAAACAAAAAAAGCTTTCTGAATATCTAAAAAATCAGATAATGAGGTTCTGATGTTCGAGTGTACAATGAAGACTTTATAAACTGGGTATAAAGAGACAGTATACAGAACACGCTTTTTTTTTTTTTTTTAACACTCCAGCCATCTCCCACAGAGGCAGGGTGACCCAAAAAAGAAAGAAACACTTTCATCATCATTCAACACTTTCACCGTCATTCATACATAATCACTGTCTTTGCAGAGGCGCCCAGATATGACAGTTTAGATGTCACTCCAAACAGCCAATATCCCAAACCCCTCATTTAAAGTGCAGGCATTGTACTTCCCACCTCCAGGACTCAAGTCTGGCTAAACACTTTTATTGGGGCTATATTTCAATTTCTACAGTGGAACCTCTGCTTATGAGTGCCCCACCATGTGAGGTTTTCAGGATATGAGCCGTCACTCGGTCGATTTTTTGCTCCAAGATACGAGCCAAAATTCAGGTTGTGAGCTTCCCCCTCAAGAGAGGTTCCTTGATGCTGGTGAGAGGCTCTTGACCTAGAGAATTGTATCTATGCTCCAGTTCTCTTAATATAATTACCTTCCATCCCCTTCCCCCCACAGGCGCTGCATAATCCTACAGGTTTAGCGCTTCCCCATTAATAATAATAATAATAATATAATGTAATATAATAATACATATAATATAATAATAATATAATGTAATATAATATGCATAATAAATAATAATAATACAATAATTATAATAATAATACTGTAATAAACACTCCATTTTCTCGTATAATAACACCTCAGAAGGGGAAGCATGGGAAGATGTTTTCAGAGTGGGAGCGGGAAGGCCGCCACCACTTGTCACATAATGACATATGTATTTTATTCATTCTAGAGTATATATCAGGTTCCTGCTTTATTTATATTGTTTATCCCCTCAAGGAAGGTTCCTTGATGTTGGTGAGGGGCTCTTGATTTAGGGAATTGGATCTGTGCTCCAGTTCCCCGAATTAAGCCTGAATGCCTTCCACA